CGAAAACAAACAGATTTTGAAATGAAAAGAAATTAATCTCTTATTTCACTTATCGAACCAATGCAAATAGGTACATCGCATTTGTGCTATAAATAATCGATGGATAGAAAGCTTGTTCTTTGATAAGTCAGTTAAAAATGAAAATTTTAAGAAGCAGGAAATACCGTATGAAAGTGTACAGTACGCTTGATACGATAGAGTAGATCGTAGTTGAAATCGAGTCGAAAATTACCATAAATTCGCCGTGCAAATGATAATACCTCGGCACAATTTACGTCAACTTACGACATCGGTCGCCTATTAAACATAAGCACAAGTAGGAAGACTCGTCCAGTGAAAATTCGCGGGTCATTTGAGCCGTTTCCGCGTCATTACGCTTTCTTAGCTGGGCTTCTTTACGGGAGGACGAGAGCCACAGTGGACGAAGAGAGTCCCGAAGCGAGATCGAAGTAGAGCGGAAGAGGGTTGAAGAGGAACGAGACCGTCGGGGGTGGAGAACGTAACTCGATTCTTCGTTACTTTCTTCTCCTTGCGCGGTGGATTATATCCTTGAAACGAGCCAAACTTTCAGCTTTCCTCCCTTTTCTTCCTGTTCATCGGTTTAAACGACCACGCGGGTCTAGGACCCTCGAATCTACTGATTTCATCCGCTGAGAACTACGCGACGCGATACGATGAATCGCGCGGTCGCATCGCCGTCTTTACCAACGACGCGTTATTGTCGCGAGCCATTTTGATAGTGGGCGAGAGGGAGACGAACGTTTTGTTCTTGTCGTCTGGTAATGCGCCACTCTCACAGCAAATTGTGCGCGGAAACGAGTGGATTAAAAATGAAAATTCCTAATGTCCGGGGGATTATGCTTCATTTCAACGATTACTTTCCTCCTTGAATCAGACACTTAATTTTCTGCTTGTCCTTGCGGTTGCTCTTGTCAGCCATTTCAAAATAATCTCGTCGAACGTACCTCTTCGCATATTGTACGCGTATTTTTATTTGTTTCTATTTCATCATCCTCTGGCGACAAATTGGACAAATAAATCTACAAATAAATCGAGATGTATTTAAATGTATTTTATCAGAAAACGACTGTCGCTTTGAAAGTAATCGAAAGAAAGAAGCTTCGGTATACTTGATTTGATACTGTTCGGGAAAAGAAAGATCCAAAGTTACCGAAGCATCTTTATTTTCCATTCCATCGTTGTCAGTTGTTCCACTCGTCTCCGTGTGCCGAGAGAAAAGAACCTTCCGTTTACAGCCAGGTCAATCTTCCACATAATTCAGTAGCAGGAACGAACTGTTCCTCGAGGAAACATTGGACGAAAGCAATTGAAGAATCGAGGATCTTTGTCGTGCGAGATCGAATTCGAACGAGCCTCTTAACTCGACTTTACGGGCGATGCTTTACGCTGCCAGCATTCCACCTCGAAACCCTCGAAAGGAACGCCATTTTGTTAGGCGAGTTATTCTTCCAGGATCAACGACGCGGCAACTCACGTATTAACGAACGACTTCGCAAGAAACTGAAACACTTGTTCTCTTGTTTCTTTGTGCAACATTTTTATACGGAAACTCGAGAGGTAACATTTTATTTTCTCATTGCGAAAGAAAACGGCATAACGAACATTATCGTTAAAAATTATACCTTTTTCAAAAAAAAAAAAAAAAAAAATAAGAAATATTTTTCCTCGAAAAAACAAACTAAATTTAACTAACAACAGCGACAGCCAACGCGTTTTGAAGTATGTTCCGCATACTCAATCACGGATTTTGAAATTGTACAGCGATTCCAAGCTGTAATTACGAGTCTATGAAATGTATCGAGCCGAGACTGAAGAATGATCGTGCACGATCGAATGAAAATGTCGAAGACTCGCGGTCTCGGTCGCGCGGTTCTACCTGGCAAGACGTTCTAACGAATCCTCAATGGCGCCTCGGCTGAAACGGGGACTGACAATGGGCCCCTGTTGTCAGGATGGGGGTCTTCCTTCAGTGGAACCTTTGTCAAAGAACGTACGTGGAAGCCGGCTGAGAACCCTCTAGAGGACTTCGTGGATGACTTGCGTCTCGTGAGCCGTTCGTCGCTACTTGAAGTCAATTTTTTTCTCAGCAGCACAGCCAGCCGGCGTTCCACTCCTCTCGCCGGACACAACACGATTGTGTGAGCCACGTCAAAATTCTTCGCTAATGGTCCGCTTATGGTTGGATACGCGTGTTGTTTTTTCGAACGAGCCCGTGGGAGACTCGGCCCTCATTACCCGGATAACTTCAACCGGGAAACGTCTGTCCGCACGAATGGGATGACTCCTTTTCCTTCGACTAGCGCTTCGTTTACACGTCCGGCTATTTGTTACCGGGATGCACACGAACTGACCCGTTTGAATCTCGTGCATCAAGAAAAGAAAAACTCGTGAATGTTTAAACTCCGAGCAATTGTACGCGTTCAGCAAACACGTAGCACGTGTTGGCAAATTAAAGTCATATATTCCAAACGCGATTAGCAGCAGGAACCGCGACTAAAACGACGTTTTCAGCATCGTATGGTCCGTTCCGAATGCAAGCCACGATTTATTAAGCCCTTGCACGCGCGGCGTTACCGAAATTAAACAGTAATTGAACAGTGATTCGTGGTGTCATTTCGTCCAAAACACTCCGCAAGGTGGGACCCCCTTCGGCGTAGGTATATAGATATCGATCACGTTGAAAGGACGTGTGGCGAGGCAGCCTGTAATTTTCGCACCCCCATAAGAAGCCGTAACCCTCCGGCCACCGAAATTACGTCCGTTTGTGCGCGATTCTGCGCGCCAATCAGACGCGGCCTCATTGCAAGTACGAGAGCGATCGCGATAACGAGTAGTCAAGTCGATCGGTCTTTCCTCCTGTATGGGGGTGAATTTCGAAACCAGACACTCCCTTGAGCCTCGTTGGCTTTCTTTCATGACGGTTTCGCAAGAATTCTATCAAACAGTTACATCCGGTTATAGGCAGTGCGTATTTTCAGTTATCAATAGTATTCTTTATAAGCACTGAGTGCAGTAGTTAGCGTATATCGATGGCGAAAACTTTTATAGAAATTAATTTTCAATTTAGTTTATCAAACGATGTTTGAAAGACGAAGAGATAACAACGAAGATAATTTTTATAAAATTGCGGAATTTCCGTTTTTTATATCCAGAAGGGATACATTTATACTGTGACCATTTTGATAAGAGAAATATCAGGGCCGGATACAGAATCGGTCGTAGAAGCTCGCAATTATATTGCCGCATGCGTGAATCGCGTACACAATTACGCAAACAAGCGGAACGGAGGTCTGCCGGAGACATTTCGATTAACTTCACCGCGGGAGCGTTCCGGTTTTTCTTTCTCTGGGTTGTCAGCGTTGGAAAAGTTGGACGAAATAACACAACGAATCGGAGGGTGTAGGATTGACAATTATTGTGATCCTTTTCAATACTCAAACATTACGGAGAATGCTTCTGAAACGCCGGCGTGTATTAAAGACCTCGTGATTTTGGAGTAAGTAAGTATCGTCCTAAGAAATGAATACCATGGAAAAAGTCTCGGAAATTTCTCATTTAGCCGCGAAGCGAAGACGAAGAAATGCTTCCAGCGTTTTCCATTCTTCAAACAAGATGTTTCCCTTTTCTCTTGTATCTCTTTGTCTCCGTTCGAAATGAGAAAGCCTCTCAATACCAAAAATCAAGTAGCGTCTCGTCAAAGAAAACGCAGCAGCGTGTCCTTTATATTTTCATGATGGAGCGACCTCGTGTCGGACGTTATAGCGAATTGGAAAACGAAACTCGTGTATGTTTACGCAAACCATCGTCCCGATGAAACTCGTATTTCCACGTCGGCGTTGTCTGCATAAGATTCAGTGAGCATAACTAATTAATTTGTTCAGACCGCATTGGCCTAACCAAACTCGTCCATTTAATCAAGTAATATTTCAACGTGCGAAACCTGACAGACGGCGCATTGTCAAATCGCTCAGTGGACACGATAATTTCATTTGATAGCGGAAGCAGACCCTTCCGGCCTTCTCTTTCTTTCGACGTTAACGGTTCGTTACGGTTCGAACGACATCAAAATTTTATCGCAGCGTTTCATCTACGAGAGAACGAACGAATGTTTCAAGAATGTTCACGGACATTTCTATAATTTCCTCTTGAACGGAGTCCTTTATTTTGTATTGTCGAATAAATTTCAGTGGAGGCATTTACTTGACAACGAACACGCTCGTCGTGCACGTCAAGCGCCATAAAATGCCCCTAATCGATATGAAAACTGGCCGGCGCGGCGCTCTTCTTCGTGTTGTTTTGCGGCACGCATCGGCGTGCGCGCACACGAGCGCGCGAGAAACAAAAAAATGTGCGGGACAAAGGGTCCAGAGAGTGAAGCTACAAAGAAATTAGGAAAGAAATAGGGGGTCGGAGTGGTCTCGGAACAGGCAGGAACAGAGCAAGGGACGAAGAAACTCGATGGAGACGCGCGCGCTATATCGAGAAGCGGAAGGAAATTCACGCGGCAACGAGTCGGACAGAGAAGCGGCGAGAGTGATGACGGAGAGCAGGAGGGATCGCGGCGTAGGACGAGGGAGGAGGTACAGGGGTGAAGGTAGAGTGAAAGAAGAGGTAGAGAAAAGACGAAGAAAGCCGGTACTCCCACACAAAAATATCACCGTTAACGATTACTAACCCCTCTTTTCGTCCCGC